CTAATTTTGTCACTTTTCCCCAATGTCTTGCTTTCTGTACAAAACCCCAAAGCCTTTCTCAAACCGACCTTAAGTCTTCATGCTTCATTCCAAACTCCTTTCTTCATATTCACTCCCTAGGAGAGATGGTAGGGGATCCTATGTAATAAAACTCTAATATGCAAATTGACCAAACAGCCTGAAATACTGGTGGAACAACTGGTTGCTATGACATGCACTGACCACCAGGGGGAAGATGCTCAATGCAGGAGCTGCGCCCCCTGGTGGCCCATGCACTCCCACAGGGGGAGCGCTGCTCGGCCACAAGCCAGGCTCATGGCTGGCCAGCGCAGCGGCAGTGGTGGGAGCCTCTCCCACCTCCACTGCCGGCAGGCAGTAAGGAGCAAGGGGTCCCAGAATGCAAGAGCCCCAGACTGCGAGAGGGATGTCTGCCTGCTGGCTTAGGCCCGATCCCCTAAGCCGGCAGGCAGACATCCCCCAAGCGGTCCCAGACTGCGAGAGGGTGCAGGCCAGGCTCAGTGGATAAAGCATCGGCCTGCAGACTGAAGGGTCCCAGGTTCAGCCTGGTCAAGGGCACATGCTTGGGTTGCTGGCTTGATCCCCAGTAGGGGGCTTGCAAGAGGCAGCCAATCAATGATTCCCTGTCATCATTGATGTTTCTATCTCTCTCTCTTTCTCCCTTCCTCTCTGAAATAAATAAAAATATATTAAAAAGAAAATTTTAAAAAATATATGATTCTTGGGTGGGGCTGTGACACAATTCAGTCCATAACAACATGTAAAGTTAGAATCGTAGCTATCATTCCATAAATTCTCAAGAAATTGTTACCATACCATTATCAGTATTAGTCTCATCATTATTATCATTATTGACATTTTTTAAAACTCTTTACATGCCTTACCCTAGGTCAGCAGGCCCAGGAGTTAGGAGGGAACATCATTGTCCCCTTTTATATGAGGTGCAGAGATCTCTCACAGTGGTCTTACCAATGAGCATTTCTGATTTCTTAGGATACAGTCCTAGAAGTGGGATGATTGGGTCAAATGGGAGTTCCGTTTTTAATTCTTGAGGAAACTCCACAGTGGCTGCACCAATCTGCATTGCTGTCAACATTATATTAGGGTTTCCTTTTCTCTACACCTCACCAACACTTGCCGTTGGTTGATTTGTTGATGATAGCCATTCTGACAGGTGTGAGGTGATATCGCACCCCTATGTTCATAGCAGCACAATTTATAATTGCTAAGACTTGGAAACAGCCTAAGTGCCCATCAGCAGATGAGTGGATTAGAAAACTGTGGCACATCTACACAATGGAATATGACACTGCTTTAAAAAAGAAAGAACTCTTACCATTTGCAACAGCATGGATGGACCCGGAGAGTATTATGCTGAGCAAAATAAGCCAGTCAGAGAGAGATAAGTATCACATAATCTCACTCAGATGTGGAATCTAATGAACCAAATAAATTTATGGTCAAAAATAGACCCAGAGCCCCAGAAGCATGAACAGACTGATGAACTTCAGAGGGAAGGCAGGGGAGGATGGGTTGGAAGATATCAACCAAAGAACTTACATGAATACAGTATAACCCGTGGACACAGACAGCGGGGTGGTGAGGGTCTGGGATAGGAGTGGGCTGGAAGAGGTTAATAGGGGGGAAAGGAGGACCTATGTAATACTTTCTATAATAAAGATTAAAAGAAAGAGAAAAAAATGGTCTTGCCAATGTCAGTGGCTGAGGAGAGTCCAGCCCCCTGAGGCCTGGTTTAATGTCTTTCTACGCCTCCAACCTGCCTCCCCTCAGCCTCCAAATGGGTTGCTTTCCTGTGATTCATTCTTTTCTTTCGATGACATCATTCACCTCACTGTATCTGGGATTCTTATGGGTAAAACAAATTAAATTATTGCCCACCCTGAGTGAACAGCAAGTGGCAAAGAGACCTTAATCGTATATTAAATTGTTCACTTCAAAGATAAATTTCCTAGATTTGGAGAAGCCATTCCATATGCCTGGCTGGCAGTTCCTCATTATGCACCACCTCTTGTGTTAGCCAATGTGACTCTAGTCGCCTGGCAGCAGAATGGTGTCCACCAGAGATGTGTGGTCCCTGACAGCTGCCCACTGATTTTTCACTCCGGGGTCAGCCGGGCCGCCGAGCGCAGCTGCACGGCCCCCCGCCTCACGCTGCCGTCACGTTGTTTTGTGCTAACGTGGTAGAAAGCAGTTTAACTTTGGTAGATGAGCTTTTCTCTTCCAGCTTCCTGCGCATTATTGATTTTGCTTAGCAATAACCCATTTGTTCATAGAAAGGATCAAAATACACTGTAGTGATTTGAAATTTGTCACTTTGGGGGCAGCAGGGTGAACTCGGAATTAATGAGGTTTTATTTCTCTGCTAGAGCTCCTCAGATTCTTGATATTTTTCTCAGCAGGTTAAAATCCCAAACCGGGCCATAAATTCAAATCAGGCAAAATGGGAGCTCGGGTTGAAGAGGCAGTGTTATCCCAAGTGTCTATAGCAGCTAGTCCAGGAATTCCTCACTTAATACAATATGTCAGAAGTGGGGAGCATACGCTACTCAGTGGCTTGTAATTTTTAATTGGTTTACACAAAAAATCCCATAAGTTTAGAGTCCAAAGGAGCTTTAGGTTAAAGTTTGGAAACCAGAGAAAATCATTTTATCCTTGGATGTACTGAGACCATGTGAGAATGTGGCTATCTTTGAAAACTATATAATAAAAAGTTTTTAATTATGTTCGTCGTGATGTGTATAGGAGCATAAAATTATAAATTGTTTTTCTCCCATTTTCTAAATTTTCCAGAATACTTATATAGCAGTGGGGTGAGGTTCAAACATTAAATATAAAAATGCTAAATCAATGGTGGAACATAATCTATAATTTGATGGACAGGTTATTTTTAACTGTTTATCCCCCAATCTCATGGCCTCTTTGTTTGTGAACTAAAGCTCAAGGATTCCCCTACGCCCCTGGGACATTCATTGGTTCATTCAGCAAATTGGTGTCGAGCTAAAGTGATAACCAAAACAGTGAAATCCTCACCTTCGAGGAGTTCACATGCTACTACAGGGAATAATTAAACAAGCATGTGATATATTGTCAAGGAGTGATAAACACTGTGTAAGAAAATAAAGCAGCCAGCTAAAGAGACAAACTCAGAGGGAGACTGATAATTTTAGGTAAATGAAATCATGGAGGACCTCTGGAGGAGGTGATATTTGTACAGAGACCTAAATGAAAGATCAGTAGCTGAAACAGCAGCATTGGTCCTACTTCAGAACAAATTGTAACCTAATTCATGAGCTCTTAAGTTTTTTAAATTAACTCAGTGTTTCTTTAAAATTAAAACCTCTGTATTGCATTTGCCCCTCTCAGTTCTCGTAAATCAGAGCACATCATCCCTGCTCAGAGCATGCAGTGGCTCCACATTTAAGAAAAATTCCAAGTCCCCAGGACAGTACGAAGCCCTCCATGCCTGGCCCTCCAACCCCTAAGTTGCTTCAACTCCCTGGCCATACCTCCTGGTAACTTTCTCTCTGTGGCATCTCTCCATCCATGCTATCCAGCCCTAGAGGTTGGCATTGGCCACGCCTTCTTCCCAGAATCCTCTTCCCCAGATCTCCATCCACATGGTTCACTTCTTTTTCAGTCTGTTCAGATGTCACCTTCTCAATGAAGCTTACCCTAGGACAGTGATGGCAAACCTATGACACGCATGTCAGAGGTGACACGCGAACTCATTTTTTTGGTTGATTTTTCTTTGTTAAATGGCATTTAAATATATAAAATAAATATCAAAAATATCTTTGTTTTACTATGGTTGCAAATATCAAAAAATTTCTATATGTGACACGGCCCCA